AATGTTGTAGTGTGTCAAGGTGGAGCCAATTGTATATAAGTAGTACATTCTGCATCATATCATCATGTTTCGTATGTCAAATGTTACAAGTAGCCTAACTGAGTGTCAGATATCTATAGTTGAGTAAACAAATATAAAATCTAGAAGCATTACATTTAAATGCTCAAGTAAAGAACCAGTTAGTTATGTAAAAAAAAAGCCTTTAAAGGGGACCTATCATGCAAAATGCACTTTTGTACGTCTTTTATACATGAATATGTGTCCCCGGTGTTCCAGGGAACTCACCAAGTGTCAGAAAACACAACCCTCTCTATTTTCCTCCATACCCAAATCTCTAAAAAAGGGGCTGCAACGGATCTGATAAAAACTGATCCAGATTTGAACACTGTCCTGACGTCAGGAAAGTGGCGCTACGGCTATTGGGCCAACTCCACCAATCAGGAGGAGACAGCCACGGCCATTGCCGTTCGAAAGTGCTGGAGACGCTGTAGTACATATGCCAGGCCTGTAAGTGGCGCTGTAGTATGCCACAAAAGCAGCGAAGAAGACTTGGTTACCATGGTTACCCTTCTGTTTAATCTCCGCTGTGGCTTTTTTTCTCCCTCCCCGAGGCAAGCGTTTGCTCCCGCTGCTTTAATGCAATGCAATCCCTCCCCGTCGAGGCAAGCACTGTAATTCTCTCCGGTTAGTCCACCAGCAGATGACAAACACCCACCTCTCCGCTTCTTCCAAGGAACGAGGGGACTGTGCGGCAGAGTTTCAGTTTCAGTTTCTTTCGCCGGTCAAGATGTCCGTTAAAGTTGAAATCTTCCGGACAAAATGAGAAAAGTGCCGGTCAAAGGTCTTCTTTGTTATTTATTGAGCTTTAAAACAAATGAATAACGACTCTATATAATAAAACACGGAGGACGGAGATCTCTTTTTCTCCCCCTCTTCTGACAGCCCAGCAGCTGATCTGGGGCCTCATTTATAACGCCTTGCGTAGGATTCACGTGGGAAGGTTGCTTACGTAGTAAAAAATAGGTACATACATTTTCCGCCATTTTCCGATTCACAAAACATTGCGTACCGGCGAGGGAACTGCGTACGGCACTCCCTACGCCTGTTTCCCTTGATAAATCACAATCGACTCGTAACGCCCATATTTGCCTATACATAGTCAAAGAAACTCCAATTCATTCATTTTGACTGACTGCATGAAGAAGATCGCAGGAAATTACGACCGAACAGCTAAAAAAGACATCTCGCACCGTGTCAGATTTTGGTTATTTTGGGGAGGTCGAGATAAATCATATTGTTTGGTGGATGCAGTTTGAACCAGAGTAGCAGCATGGAGGTCGGATCGTCACCAAAATAAATAAATAAGTGGTCCGAAAAAAGTTAATGACAAAACAAATACACATAACCTAACCTTCCTCAGGCAGTGTGTTTGTACCGGGGACAGGAGACACCCCCTTGATGAGAAACTGTAAGAAATGATCGGGGAATCCCTCCGGAGTGGAGTCATGACGACTGGATCTGAATTATTTTGTTGTATTTGGTGGTTTGTGTTCCAGCTGTCGATCAGCAACTATATATCCATAATCCACCAGTTAAAGGAAATACAACTAATGGGTTGTGTTATATTAGCTGTACAATTTACCACATATGGTGTTCTTAGTTTCCATACCTCCTGTGTTTTACGAGCGACTTATCAAGTCTTGGCAAATGGCATAAAACACGATTAAACGTGATAGTATATGAAACCACGCTCGTATCTACAACCTATAGAAATGCAAAACGGCGTCAGTTTAGACGTAATTCTGTCCTCCTGCTTACCGCATCATTTATGAGAAAACATTTCATAACATGAACACAACATATTCGAGGTGGTTTTAAATAACATATCCGTATTTATTTATTTCTCCAAGTTATGTTTTTGTGTGCACTGAGGAGTCTCAAACAGGCGTTTGTTTAATCATTTTAAGATTGGCTTTAATCAATGTTTGAAAATGAATTCTTCATATTTGATAAATGAGAGGTAACATTTTATTTATGGTATTATTTCCACATAATTTCTCTCCATTCTTACTTCTGCCAACGGTGTCGCAGTTTCTCGTCTCTCCCGTTGTTGTGCTTAGTGCGTACGCATGGGTTAGAGTTTGCGTGGAGGACCGCACATTTTCCCGTCAAGTTAGTATTTTATAAATCGCAAACATTGCGTAGAAACTGACGTACGCCATTTTTTTGAGCGTATATCCCTTTATAAATGAGGCCCCAGAGCACGGCTCCCCTGTCCTGCAGGGGGGCGTGGTCAGCTGCAGCTCACAGAGATCAGCCCCGTAGACAGCAAACAGCACATAGAGCGAAATGAGGCATGGCTAAAATGCATGATCTGTTTGGTATTTTGAAAACAGAAACGTATAAATATACCTTATATAGGTATGGCCCTACAATATATCATTTAAATATAGCATGATAGGTCCACTTTAACATATAAGACGAGATAAACCTATTTAATGGCATACAACATAGTAGCAGCTCCATTACGCATTAAAATGTTTTCTGTAATATATAAAGTTAATATGACATTAAAATAAAACATCAGCCACTGCAAAGTTTTATTTCAGACTTTATAAACACACTTACATATGTACCCATAAACAGTCAATGTCAAGTGTTCATACATTCAGTCGCACTAGAAGCTGTTACAGGTGTTACATTTGAGTTTTCTATCGTAAAATAACCATTAGTATTTACATTAGTTGATCACATTTTTTAAGTCAATGCAGTTCAATTTGCTGAATTAATTTTAAACCCCCTTTCTCCATGACAACCAAACAAACCTTAAGATGGTGACACGTTGAAATCTCCAGAAAAAGCAAGTGAATGAACCCTGGAGTTCTAAATCTAAGAGGGCATATTGACTGATTAATCAACCCTGAAGTCACAAAAGCATGCATTTGCAGAGACTTCCTGAGAAAGATTTATTTTGGGAGCTTCTAGCAGGTTTCTCTTATTGTGTTATAGAGGTAGTTTCCTGTGTGAAGTCTCAGCAGACCCAATGTGAAAACTACAAAGTGAGACTATAACAACTAACCTGGCTGTGAGAAATGTATTTGAAAGCGTATGTGTTTGCAGGATTGTTGCTGAATTTGTATCTTCGTGGTTGATTGCAATTATATTGTAAAAACCTTTGGATGAAGGTAAAATGTAAAAAAAAGTTGTGGATTAAAAATACATTAGGAATATGCTCATACGTTTTTTATATTAAATACAAATAATGTGACTCCTACTCATGGCTGGTCACACCTTTACCCACACAAACAAACAAACAAACAAACAAACAAACAAACAGCTGATGGTCACACAGGGGGAGTTTAACATTAAATACAGAAAGTAAGATGACGTTATAGAGAAATGACAGAACTACAAAGTGTACTCACTGAGAACGAAGAAGATCAAACTGTGGCAGACGTCCATGTTCGAGTCTCTGATGGTTGAACGCTGTCTCTCTTTCTTCTTCACCGGCAAACCAACACGTTTTCACTTCTCTAAACGATGGAGTCCCTGCTTAAAATAAAACACTCACAGCTGGACTCTCCTCTCTAACACCTGCATGTGTATCACGTATGGTTTCACTTTAAAACTTTGTAACTTAATGCAGCAAAATAATATCTTTTGCTTTGAACATTTAAATAATTTAATGTTAAGTGTGTGGAAAAGTGTACTTTGTTTTAAGCCAAAAAAACATATTATTGTCGAACACATTTCAGAAATGTTTTATTTTTATCCTGAGAAAATTATCCAGAGTACAGAGCAGGAAGAGGTCGAATACAAAATACAATATAAAAAATAAAACTCCATAAAAATTGTACAAATCCAAATATATGTACAGTATAAAACAATACAAACAAGTCATAAGGACACATTACGTAACAGTATGAGGAGTGGCATCTTGTTACCCGTACTGACCACATCTATAGTTTCATATCTATTTATTTATATTCTGCTATAATTAAACATTTCTGTAAATTAAGCCTTTAACCAAAATAGTCAATTTAATAGTCAAAGCTAATTCGGAGCAATATATCTTATGCTAATCTGCTAACTTGACTAGAACAGTCTATCTTACAGAGATAACTGTAATACCATATCAAGTGTAATAAAATGAACTTTATAAATAAATTGAAGCCATAAAAGAGCTTTTTACATTAAACTACATATCATTTAGCTGAGGCTTTTATCCAAAGGGACTTACAATAAGTGCAACCAGCTTTGACCTGAAGCAAACTGTTGAAGCCGCACGCTTGTGAACTAGAGCAGAGCTGGACTTATCATCACATGAGGTCATTCAAAGCAGGTTTGAAATAAGTAAATGGATAAATAATCGTACATATTCCCACAAACATCTCTCTGTTTCAGAATATTTTCACAGCTGCTTAATCCACACCAGCTTCTTCTGCCAGACTGTGAGAGTTATTGGGGGTTGTTAACAGTAGAGTACAGAGGGGGCTCATCAGAGCTAGCTTCCACCCGAGGAACAGAGTAGATAACACACTCAGCGTCACCGTGGAAACCGCTTTGGGACGAGTCCACGCTGACAAATTTGATCTCAGAGTAGGCGGGTTGACTCGGGTCGTCTTCAGCCTGGAGGAAACAACATTGCTTGATTAAATGTGTCTTTAACAACAGAACAAACAAGCAACTGGACTTGGTTGTGAAGTAATGTCATCAAAACAAAAATAAGTTGTGTTTGTTTAGGTATTTTTTCCATATTTAGACGTATTATATTACTGCAGACAATATTGTATTACTTGTTTATCCTTACTGTATTTTGTAAACTAGCTGCAGCAACAACGTGGTAAATTGGTTTTGGCTCGATTTGGTTGTGTTTATTTGGCGTACAGTGTAAGGGTAAATTAAAGAGATTTCCCCAGGAGATCTCACATAGACCCTCGTACACTTCGTTGGTCTTCAGAAGAATGTATTATATGATTCTCAGATTTCCTCAAACTCACCTCTGGTGCAGAAGCATGTTGTGTTTCCTCATGAGGTTCTGAAAAACACAACAGGACTTTGAGAAAAAGACTCAGAACAGATTTTCAAACATGAAATCACACATTCCCCATTTGGACCAATATTTAGGCCAACAATTAAAATCAGAGTAAAACAAGATAAATAGATGTGAGTTTGTAAACAACACAATATACAGTATATTTAATCATTAACCACCCTGCCAAATTGCAGTTACTAAAGAAACTTGATTAAGTATATAAAATAAAGTTTCAATGAAAAAAATTAACAACCAATGGCTTTACATGTTTCTAAAATGCATATGAACTTAAAAAAAAGCCTCTGATCCTCTGACTTCACTTGGTCTCCAAAATAGAGGAAGCTATCCTCTTAGCTCTCTCTATTTGTGTGTGTTTGTGAAAAGCTTATTTTTATAAATGGCATACGTTTTGTAGATAGACTGATTTGCAGTCAGGTGTGATATAGATTTAAATATATGTTGTTGTTTTTTAAATCGTATTAATGTGTAGTTGCAAAGATACTAACATGTTCTATGTTCGTGATGTTGAAACTTACAAAGCATAAATCTAGCATCTGTTTCCTAGCAACAACTGAAGGATTGTCACTCTACAATAACCAGTGATAACAAAACCTTTAGACTGAGTAGCAGTTGGGTTATTCTTAATGCTGTAAATGAATATCCGTACACCAATCTGGTGATGGGGGATGGACATTTTGTGTGAGAAAATTATTTAAGAATTGTGCGTCTGCTTTTAAAGTTAAGATTGGTCAAGAGAAAACTACAACTCTTCAGTGAGAAATGTTTGTTTGTGTATGTGTGTGTGTGTGTGTGTGTGTGTGTGTGTGTGTGTGTGTGTGTGTGTGTGTGTGTGTGTGTGTGTGTGTGTGTGTGTGTGTGTGTGTGTGTGTGTGTGTGTTGTGTGTGTGTGTGTGTGTGTGTGTGTGTGGTGTGGTGTGTGTTACCTGGTTCCTCACTTTTGGCTTTACAAATCCTCTTCCTGCAGAATACCAGCACAGACAGTGATGACACGATGACCAGGACGACCAGAGTCAGAAACACATACAGGATCACACCTGTCGGTGTTTGAAGAATTACATATTCATCTAAGACTTAGAGTACCCACTAATCAATTTAGTTTTTATAGAGGGGGGGACAGGTTATCTTTAGCGGAAGATAACAGGTCAACAGTATTTGCCATATACTGTCGAAATAGAATAGATGTAGTATTGATTTAAAAGGTGCAGCATTTTAAAATCTACTTTGTAATGTGTTTTTTACAGATGGTAATTGAAATGTACAGGTTGTGATAGTAGAAAAGGCATAGAACAATATGATGGAATCATTTGATGGCCATTCCCATGTTCTTTAATGTTCAAAAGTTGTTGAAACTTCTAGTAAAAACAGTGTGTGGATGTACCTGTAGCAGTTGTTGATTCAGATTGCTTGGTGGTTTTAGGAGAAGTGGTCAGAGCTGTGAACAAAAACAAGCACAGAGAAGTCCTGATGAGAGAAATGAGATCCTCCTGGGTGTCTGTCGGCTGAGCTTTTAAATTGAGTTTAAAACATTGTTTGAAGAGTTAAATGTAAACCATGACATCCAACACTTGAGTACCCATAATCCATTTTGTTTTTCAAGGGGGGGGGGAGTTATCTTTAGGGGAAGACAACAGGTCAACAGTATTTGCCATATACTGTAAAAATCTAAAAGAGTAAATCTTTAGTATGCTGGGAACCTGATTTTTAGGTTCAGCCTTTTAGAATCAACTTTTGTAATGTGTTTTGAAAGATGCTAATTGAAAATGTACAGGATGTGATTGTAGAAAAAGCAAAGAACGATATGATGGAAGAATGTGATGGCCATTCTCATGCTCTTTTATGTCGAAACGTTATCTAGTAAACAGAGGGTGTGGATGTACCTTTAGTTGTTTCAGGATGCTTGGTGGTTTTAGGGGAGGCTGGTGTAGTTGTGGAACTTTCACTTTGGTTTGTTGTTGTTGAGGATGCTGATGGGACTGATGATGAAGGTGTAGAAGTGGTCAGAGCTGTGAACAAAAACAAGCAGACACAAAGAAGTCCTGATGAGAGAAATGAGATCCTCCTGAGTGCATGTGAGTGTCAGCTGAACTATTTTAAATTGAGAGATTAAAACATCAGCAGCTGTCAGTGAAAACTGTCTTCAGAGACAAGAACAAACATTTTCATTATCAAGCAGAAACTCACCATCAGTGACGATGAGCCTAAACCTCTGGTATCGATCTCTAGAGGAAGTTATGCCCAGACCACACCTGTACCATCCTGAGTCAGACTTGGTCAGCTGTTTGATGCTCACATACAGAACATATCCTGTTGAAAATCTATGAGTATATCTGATCCTGTATCTGCCATTTTCCTGATCTGATTTACTAGTCATTTCAACAAGATTGTCTCCTCCTTCACATTCTTCCTTGCAGAAGTACTTCTTGTATCTATATTGAGTAAAGTTGCATTGAACTACAATATTTCCTCCAGTTCTAGCATCGATTGTTTTTTCTGCAGAAGGATCACCATCCAGCATTGCTGTTGAAAAAAACAAACAATCAAAAGTTACAATGTGTAGATTACAAATCTTAGTTTCACCATGTGTGTGTTTTAAAAACTTGATCCAGTCACTGAGGGTTAAGGTGTGACTCTTTAATGAAACGGATTTTTAACTAAATATTTTCAAGGAGATTTAGCAAATCATAATCTTTCGCTGTGCCCAGAATTGGATTTGATATCATTTTATTTTGGATTAATATTAGATTTGAATGCTTTAATAAAGTCGTTGGCTTTGTAATTTGTATCTGATTAAGGTTAACTGATAATTAAATATGTGATCTTAAGGAAAATGATCTGTTGCAAAGAATGACATATTTTGAAAGGATTTCTTGACCTCTTGAAATGATGTTTTTTAATAATTTTACTTAGCCTGAGTTTCCTTAAATTAATTTGCTCATAACTTCCCTAAAACATGACTTATCTAAACACTTCTGTATTAACTGTTCTTGAGAAAAGAGGAGCTCGTCTCTTTATGCAGAAGTGTTTTAAATGGTGAGGTTTAAGCAGAATGCATGTTTTAGGGAAGTACTTAGCATACAGTAAATGACATTAGGACTATACAGCATTAGTTGTGTTAGAGTTAGTTAACGGATGTTTAAATATATATTCTGCTATAGTAAAACACAGGCCCAAATTAATTTAACATTCATTAAGACTTTTCTCCATTTTTGGATTCTTTGTTCACCGTGGAGTCATGCTAGAAAAAGTTATCAAATTCAAGATAATCTAAAAATGGTAATTTGGGGGTAAAGTATTCCTTTAAAGCCCGACCGCAGCCACAAACCACCAGTTCAGTTGTTAATATTGTCTATTGATCTCAATCTATTACTAATTGTCTTACTTTTTAACAGAACACAGAGCGGCCATAGGATCTACTTCATTCAGATAAGAACAGAGACAACAGATCAATATGCTCGTGCCCCCGGTATTAAATTCTTCATCAATAATATTCTAAACAATAATATTAAAATACACTTGTGTACTTGTGTCAGTTTCGGTTTATGAGTTACTTTCAGAAGACATGTAGGATTAAGATAAGTTAATGGTGAAAAGGTAAAACTATTATTAAGACAAGGAAGAAAATTCAGTTTTTAGTAAAACTCACCATCCACGACGATGATTTCAATATACTTGTATGAAGTCCGTGTCAAAGATGTATCCGCACCACACCTGTAGCGTCCTGAGTCAGACTTGGTCAGCTGAGTGATGGTCACAAAAAAAACTCCATCTTTATAATCAATGCTGTATCTGCCTCTCTGAGCTGTGGCATCAGTTGTTTCAATGAGAATGTCTTCTTGTTCACATGGTTCCTTACAGAAGAACATCCTGGTTTCATACCAAGAAAGGGAGCATTGAACTGTGACATTTTCTCCTTCAATTCCTGAATAGACAGAGAGTTGGGCACTGACGAGACCGGTGTTTCCATCCTGCAGAGCTGAACAAAAGATGAGCCATCATTAGTAGTGGTCAGTACTTCCTGTAGGATGCTGCAGTCTGATCACAACACTTCCTGTTTCACATGAACACAGATCCTCAGAGTTAAACCACAGCCTGTGACTGAAGATCACCATCAGCACTGCAGGTTAATGTTACCGTTTGGTCTGAGATCTTTATCCTTCTTTAGACACAAAGACTACTTGAAGTCTCCATCTGTAACTTTAAGAGTTACATTAAGGCAAATCCTAATAGTACATCATCTTTTATTTTTTATGTCCACACCACTTAAACAAAACAATTAGATAGATACAAATATAATAAGTCAAAATTAACATTAGCGGCATGTATATATAGTAAGAATAAAAATCAAAAGATTAATAAATGAATCAAGAAAATAATTTGCAGATTAAATGATTATGAAAACAGTAAAATCAAGCATGTACATTATTTTACAAAATAATCAGTCGTTATGACTTAGTTTTACTCGTTCAGTAAGACGAAGATAACTGAGTTTAATGATGATGTACAGTTTGTTTGAGGAAGTGAAACACACATTTGAAGCTACTAAAAAGCCTAACTTTGGAAGATTTGAATAACTCGTAAGACTTTCATTAATTCAATAAAAAGGAAAATGATTCAATTACTAACATGAAAATAAAGTGATGTACTCACAGAAGAGGAAGAAGAAGCAGATCAAAGTGTGACAGACTTTCATGCTGAGACTCTGATGGTTTACCACTGACTCTCTCTTTCTTTACTGGCTAACCAGGAACTTGTTACTTCTTTAAATGATGAAGTCCCCTCCTCCAAACACAACACAGCTCTACTCTCCTCCCCAACGCAGGAACACTATGGTCTAAAAATACTCCATTGAAAGTTGAACTGAATTCAAAATGTTACTTGGGTAAAAGCACAAAAGTATCAAGTATAAAAAATGTATAAAATAATCACTTTCCATAAAAGCACATTTCAAAGTGTTATCATAGAATATTTGGTTTAACGATCATTTAATTTTATTATTGTAGTTTATATAGAGCCAATTTTAGATACTTTGAATGCTGCTGGCTATATACTCGTAACATAGCTTACTGCATCAGATCATCATCATGTGTTGTAGATCAACACGTATGTAGCCTCAGTGTCAAATCCTCACTTCACCTGTTAAATAAATGTAGTCGATCAAAAAGTAAAATATTTTCTTGTAAATCAAGTCGATTGGAAATATAAAATGTATTAGTATTACATTTGAATACACAAGTAGAGTATAAGTAAAGTATGTCATCATTGCACTTAGGTAATTCAGTTCAAATGTGACCTCTGCCTGGTGTCTTCTGTTAATGTGCTGTTTACATTGAAGTGCAGTTTGTTCTGCGAACGCTAGGTGTCGCTCTCACTACATTGTAGATTTTTCAGTTTTTAAACAAAGATGAAACTGAGGTAATGGTTTTTGGAGCCAAGGCAGAACGTATAAAAGTTAGCGCTGAGCTTCAGTCTGCAATGTTCAAAACAACAGATGAAGCCAGAAATCCAGGTGTAGTCATGGACTCTGACCTGAGTTTCAACAGTCACATTAAAACAATTACTAAATCAGTCTACTATCACCTAAAGAACATATCTAGGATTAAAAGACTAATGTCACAGCAGGATTTGGAAAAACTTGTCCATGCTTTTATCTTCAGTAGACTCGACTACTGTAATGGTGTCTTCACAGGTCTCACTAACAAATATATTAGAAAGCTTCAGCTGATTCAGAACGCTGCTGCTCGAGTCCTCAGAAAGTGGATCACATCGCTCCTGTTCTGAAAGCTTTACACTGGTTCCTCACAGACACTAAGAAAGTAGATCACATCACTCCTGTTCTGAAGTCTTTACACTGGTTCCTCACTGACACTAAGAAAGTGGATCACCTCACTCCTGTTCTGAAGTCTTTACACTGGTTCCTCACTGACACTAAGAAAGTGGATCACATCACTCCAGTTCTGAAATCTTTACACTGGCTTCCTGTGTGTCAAATAATTGATTTCAAAATACTGCTGCTGGTTTATAAAGCACTGAATGGTTTAGGCCCAAAATAAATTTCTGACCTCCTGCTAAATGATGAACTATCCAGAACTCTCAGGTCTTCAGTGACTGGTCAGCTTTCTGTCCCCAGAGTCAGAACTAAACATGGTAAAGCAGAGTTCAGTTATTATGCTCCAAATATCTGGAACAAACTCCCAGAAACCTGCAGGTCCACTGCAACTCTTACTACTTTTAAATCCAGGCTGAAGACTTATCTTTTTGCCGCTGCTTTTAATTGAAACAGAGCAATTGTGTTTCGTTTTTGGTTAATGAACATTTGGGGCTAGTAACCCCAGGGAATCAGTGTCTGGGGACTTTGTCCTGGCTGGTTTTCTCTGTGTATGCTGCTCGGGACGTATGTGCCATACAAGCGTACACAGCTCATGTTCGGAGAAACCTTGAAGAAAGGCATCAGTAAAATTGAACTTCTATGTGAACTATTCATATCTTAAACTGCACTGTAACTTTTTATTCATGTACTTTTTCTTTTTCTTTTAATGTTTCTTTTATTATCTTTTCTTTTTAATGACTGTTTTGAAATGCCTTTGTCTGAATGTCTTTCATTTTTGTAAAGCACCTTGAATTGCCTTGTGTTGAAAGGTGCTATATAAATAAACTTGCCTTGCCTTGCCTATATTGCTTCTGTGCTTCAAAGAGTCATACCATTTACTGACACTACACATGGTGGCAGCAAAGATAAGTTAATGTTTGCAGTGAATGGAGGAGAATTCCCTGTTTCTCTGGCCTCTTTAATGTCAATTTCCACCATACTTTTGCACAGCTCAACATCTGTTGTTTACTTTGATCCATACTGAAATACAAACTACTCGATACGTCATATTTCTAGGCTTCACACCTTTTTATTGGTATATTTGTTGGTTTTCATATCGTCTAATGTGATTTGCCTACAAGGGCTGCTCTGTAGACAAAGCACCTTTCTATATCCCCACTCTGTATCTTAATTCATAAAAAAAAAATAAGGCAACATTTTAAAACCAAACCGAACATTTATTAAGCAATTTTTTATTGATGATATTAGATACTTTAATAATAACTACAGACATACAATGGACAGTGGTAGACAGACATTTTCAGACTATAAATCTGCCCTTAAAGGTGGGGTAGGTAAGTTTGAGAAACCGGCTCGAGATACACTTTTTGTTATATTCCATGGAATGCTCTTAACATCCCGATAGCAATGAATATCTTAAGTGCTTTGACAAAAAATCCATAAAAAAAATGTCATCTGTGGAAGCCGTAATACTGTAAAAAGCACGACCAATCATTTTAGCCGGCCCGGCTAAAATAACTGGATGGCCTACCTGCCTGCCAGCCTTCCATCTGTGCACAAACTTATCTCGTGCCCTCATTGGTCATGTGCGCGTTCGTGTGTGTTGGAGGAGGGGCTCTGTAAGGAAGTGGCAGATTTTTTTCCGGTTGTGTATTTTCAAATTCTAGCGCACTCGAGCTGGTTTCTCCAAAATTACCTACCCCACCTTTAAATAGTATTTATCTTCCTCTTATGATTTTAATGCTGGATAATCATGGGTTGTAGTAACTATCCATGTATGAATCCTTGGTCTGACATACATCCTGTTTTTGGGTTTATTGTGAAACATGAAAAGACAACCAAGGTATTGCTTTTGCAAAATAATGTCGTCATTTCACATTTGAATGCAGTCTTGAAGTTCACCTGATGAACATTAAAGGTAACTTTCCAGTTACAGAGGAAGTTGTATTTGTCATGATCAGTTTGTGGTCTCCAGCAGAACTGAAGCAACATATTTTTTATAAATAAATGAGACTGCTATTTTTTCTTAGCTTCGTGGCTATTGACATTGAAAAGTTGGCCTGTTGACTGCATCTCTTATTTTAGCTAAGAAGCTTTATGAGTCACAGACAACTTGGCGACAGTACGGCACATTGTAAGCAGAGGTGTTGCATTTTGAAATACTCCTGCATTCAAAATTGTACACAAGTAAAAGTACAAAAGTATTGGCAACAAAATATACTTAAAGTGCAGACAGTATAACTACACATTTTCCAGTATGGCTCCTATCAGCTCTAATAATATTACAGATAAAATAATATACACTTGGTAAAGGTGGGGTTTATTTAAATGACTTTATACACTGCTGAGCTTAAAGTATAATAACACATATTGATTTATTAGTAGATTTATATTCTGTATTATAAATCCATAACTGCAAAGTAGCTAGTTTGTAAAATGAATGTAGGTGATGAAAAAGCAAAACATTGCCTCGAAAATGTAGTAAAGTGAAGTACAAGTATCTCAAAAACGAGTATCGTGCTTGAGTAAATATACTTAGTTACATTCGACCACTGAATTGTTGTTACTAGATTTGAGTATTATATAAAATGTTGTGTTAATGAAACAATCTGATGTTATTTTTAATGCCATATCTTAATGAATGTCACAATGAATGTGTACAGTAATGTGTATGTGTATGTGTAAAATAAGTATTTCTATTGCAGGCATGAGGGGAAAAAAACTCAGATCCACACACACACACACACACACACACACACACACACACACACACACACACACACTGAAAATGATATACATTGTTCGGAAAGTGGCGCTGTAGGCCTACTGAGAGTGGCGATTTTATTTTGTAACTATATAATTATATAATACTTGTAATAATGGGGCGTTTCTGAGTCAGTCATTGAAGAGATCCGGATCATACGAGTCATTTGAGTCATATGAGTCAGCATCACCAAGACCGTAGAAATCCTATCGGTGAAACCGAAGAGTTGTTGCATTTCACGAGCATATTAAACTGTCGTTATATTAACCTCCGCTACACAGTGTATTTTGCTTTAATAAAGAATGTTGATCACAAAAAAAAGGGTTATTTTGCGATTTGGCAAATCTGAGTCTGCTGTTGACTCGTGCATGAGGACGAGTCTGCTGGATCTCTGGATCTGCTGCTATATGGCTACGGCTCTGAGTTCGCACGAGTCTGCTCTGCTGTGTTTTGCACAGTGAGTCAGGATTTGCAAATCTGAGTCTGCTGTTGACTCGTGCATGACGACGAGTCTGCTGGATCTCTGGATCTGCTGCTATATGGTTACGACTCTGAGTCTGCACGAGTCTGCTGTGTTTTGCACAGTGAGTCAGGATTTGCGAATCTGAGTCTGTGAAGTTCCGCTGACTCGTAGGCTACTGGTCTCTCTCGATCATTGACCTGGATTCACGGATCCCGCGATTTTGATTAAGTCCATTATGTTTCCGGCTCTAAATGAAGTTTCAGTGTAGACTTCTAACAAAATTGTCATGTTGTGCAACAGTCTCCTGCGTGTAATAGCTGCATTTCCAATAAGGATCTTACTTGGCAAAACGTTTATTTTGAACATAGCACACAAAAAGAAACAAACAATGACAAATGATAGAAAATTGCAAAACAGTTAGAATATATAAAATGTCTTAATTATACAATTATTATTATTAAACATATAATTATATCTAATCATATGCCCCCCATATTTTCTCATGGACTGCGTAATCATTGCAATACTGGTGTTTGTATGTGTTAAATGTGTGTAAAGTGGTGTCTTTTGCTTTAATAAAACATATTGATCACAAAAAAAAAGGGTAATTTTGCGATTTAGCGAATCTGAGTCTGCTGTTGAATCGTGCATGATGACGAGTCTGCT